GAGCCCGATGCGGGACTCGATCCCAGGACTCCAGGATCATGACCTGAGCCGAAGGCAGTCGCTTAACCAACTGAGCCACCCAGGTGCCCCTAATCAAGTCAATTTTAAAAAGCAAACACATTAAAGCTAACTTTTTAAAAAAAGATTTTATTTGGGGTGGGCTGACGCTTAAGCGACTGAGCCACGCAGGCATCCCTCAATGTTGTTTTCTAAAAAGACTTCACATTAATTTCAATTATGCTACTTCACTTTATATATTTCTGGAACTTCTCTCCTGGGCCTAACTTCAAACCAAGTACATGGTTCTGAATATGTCTGATGGTGGCAAATTTTTACTTAGCAAGTTAATATAATTTTTAGAAATAACTAAAAGTTGCCCAGAACCAAATCTAGTAAAGGTAGTTGACTAAACTGGCTAACATTAAGTTAATATAGGTAGGGGGATGTCCTTGAGTATAATACACACAGTACTTGGGGAAGAGGGTGAAGCATGTCAGCAATTTGCACTTAAATGACTAAAAAAAATTTTGTACCATTCTTGCAGCTTTTCTGTCAAAATAAATAAAACAAACAACAAAAAACAAAACAGCTAATCCCTGTTAAGTGTTTGGAGATTATATACATTTTCCCGCATAAATGGTGGTTAGTATTAAATTAACAAAATTAACTGACAACTCTTAAGTACAGGGAAGACAAGTACATTTATTCAATCTTTGTAGATGGCATTGCAAAACTGCATTAATCCCTTTGTGGTGCTGTGATGTTGACAGACTTTTAAAATAGCCTGAAGATGGGATGCCTGACTGGCTCAATCAGTAGAGCATGCGACTCTTGATCTAGAGATCATGAGTTCAAGCCCCACACTGGGTGTAGAGCTTACTTAATAAATAAAAAATACAATAAAATAAAATAGCCTGAAGAGGTCATCTTTGTATTAGAGTTGCCACTATTCTAGCTTTATCCCCTTTAACATTTTCACTTAAGGGAATTTATTTCAAAAAATATTTTTTTTGTAAATGTGCTTATGTAAATGTGCTTTTTACACATTTACATTTTACATCTTACATAAATGTGCTTATGAAAGCATATTCTTATCATGAAAAGTGAAAATTAAAGCAATATGTAACAGGAAATGACTTCCTTAATTATGATACTTTAAAAAGATGTAATGGCTTATGGCCATAAAGAATAGTAATTATTGGGGCAGCTGGCTGGCTCAGTCAGTAGAGCATGCAACTCCTGATTTCAGGGTTGTGAGTTCAAGCCTCACATTGTGGATAGAGTTTACTTAAAAAACAAAAGAATAATTTTTATTATTGGAAAAACTTGGAAAAGGTGTTTTGCTCCACACTAAGTGAAGGCAGTAAAACAAAATTTTATATTATGATTACAACCAGGTCAAAACTATGAATTTAATAAATACATAAATCTGCAATGAAATTTATCAGAAATTGGTTGCTGGATTATAGCTGTCAGATTATAGCTGCAAAGTATTTATTTTGAATTGTCTTTTGTAAAATTTCAAAGATAATTGAATTGGATAATATGTGAATTATATCTCAATAAAGCTGTTACCAAAAAAAGTTAATTTTATAAGTAACTTTAAAAGTAATAGTTAAATTCCCAGCTACAGAAGTCCATTTAGACCTTGCAGCTGAAATGGTACAAAGAATTCTTATTTTTCAATTCTCAGGATCACAATTTCCTCCCTGATATCCATTAGTAGAGTACGTAATACTCTTTAAGTTGGATGCTCCTAAGTTACAGAATGCCTCTATCTTAAGTTTTTTTTTTTTTAAGATATTATTTATTTATTTATTTGACGGGGAAAGAGAGAGTGACAGAGTGGGAACACAGCAGGCAGAGCAGCAGAAAGAGGGAGAAGCAGGCTCTCTGCTGAGCAGGGAGCCCGATGCAGGTGCTTGATCATGACCCGAGCTGAAGGCAGACGCTTAACCAACTGAGTCACCCAGGTGCCCCTCTTAATTAGTTTTTAATAAGGTGATGCAGTCATTTAAAATCAGATGTGCAAATGAGACAATTAAGAAAAAAGTAGTTTGCTACCTTTGGATTTCTAATTATAAAGGAGAAAACCTATTATTAATCTGTAGTTGATTAATTCTTAAATCCATGCTTTCCTCAGATCTTATGAAATAAAATTGCAATTTTTTTCCATTACAAAGTAATATTTGTTCAAAAACAAAATTACATATATTCCATTATTTCCTTGGGATATATGCCCAGAGTAAAATTACTATAAAACTTGCTGATACATAACAATTATATGTTTTTTTAAACAAATGGAAAAAGGTAATTTCTCTCAAAGAAATGACAATATTTTCACAAAACATAAGCATCCAAACTAATATTTACATAAATAAATAAGTTAAAAGTATTAATCAGTACATTATATAAAAATATAAAATATATTTTAAAATATAAAAACCACTGGTAACAAGATAAAATTATATAATATTTGATAATAATTATTAACAATCTTTTGTTTACCTGATAACATCCACTCCCCCAGTCTGGGTAACTCAGCTTCCTCTCACACTTTTCCATGACAAATGCTGATTTCTGAATTAGACAAACTGAATGAGGTCCATACTTTTCAGCACCATAGTTTTTAAAACGATCTGAAGCAAACCAGAGAATTTCTCTTAAAAATTGACTTTTGGCTCATAGAACAAGAAGCTGAAGCATTCCATTCTTATGGTTAAAAATTGCTTTAAAGAAAGAAATGTTTAATGGAAATTTTCCATTAAAAAAAATCAAGAGAAACGGGCTCCAAAATCAAACTGGGTTCTCAATAAAGGACTCAGTGGGAGGAAATTATTGTATCAAAAACAGGAGATAAAACCGGGCCTAGGGGTGCCTGGGTGGCTCAGTCGTTAAGCGTCTGCCTTCGGCTCAGGTCATGATCCCGGGGTCCTGAGATCGAGCCCGCATCGGGCTTCCTGCTTGGTGGGAAACCTGCTTCTCCCTCTCCCACTCCCCCTGCTAATCTCCCTATCTCTCTCTCTGTCAAATAAATAAATAAAATCTTAAAAAAAAAACAAAAAACTGGGCCTAAAGTATCTAAATTAGATATATAGAGGAAATGGCACGAAGAATCATCTTTACTGGTAGTCTAAACAGGAGTCACCTCCCAGATGAAGCTAAGTGATTTATCTAATGAAGGCTTTTTTGGGGTGCTGCAAAAAGTTTTTGCAAAGTTTTCTTGTACTTTCATCGTATGCTATCTCCTGGAGGTCCATACATAACATGCTGATCTAGTCTCAGACTGAGCGCAAGCATGCAGAGTTATAAGGTGAATTAAATGACCTCTAAATAGCTAATGGACAAAGGAATGAGGCACTTAAGCCCTAGCAATAATTTGTTCTCTTCACACTTAATACAAGTAAGTTTCATCTTTTTTGAAAGCAGAGTTCTTAAAGATAGGTATTTTATGTCAGTTTTGGAAAACCTTAATTATATAAGCTAAGAAAGAAAATGTAAAACAGAATAAAGGAGAACTTTTTTTATATTTATGAATATTTCAAAGTCCTTGAAAAACCAAGTGATCAGTGTCAAAAAAAGAAAAGGGGGTGGTCAGCAAACTACAGCCCTCAGGCCAAATCCTGAAGGCTACCTGAAGGTTTTTACAAATAAAGTTTTATTGGAACATTGCCATTAATTTACACATTGTCTATAACTGCTTCCACACTGTAACGCAGAGTTCAGTAATTGCAACAGAGACCACATGACCCACCAAGTTTAAAATATTTACTACTGGGCGCCTGAGTGGCTCAGTCGTTAAGCGTCTGCCTTCAGCTCAGGCCATGATCCCAGGGTCCTGGGATCGAGCCCCGCATCGGGCTCCCTGCTCGGCGGGGAGCCTGCTTCTCCCTCTCCCACTCCCCTTGCTTGTGTTCCCTCTCTCACTGTGTCTATCTCTGTCAAATAAATAGATAAAATCTTAAAAAATAAAATACTTACTATTTTTCTCAAAAAAAAATTACATTCTCTTTACAATAAACGTTTGTCAACTCCAGCTCTAAAACAATAAAGTGTGATACTATATCGTTGGCAAACCCATAATTGATAGATCCCTGCATTTCTCGGCTTTAACATAGAACTGCTGAATAGTTATAAGTTTTTAGACATTAAATAGGTGAGTGATGAAAAAAATGACTGTACAAATCCAGTTAAATCTACCAGGTTTAAAAACAAAAGGAAAAACCATTATGGAAATTTAAAATGTAAATAACAGAGTCTGTAATAAAGTACGGAATTGGGAATAAAAAGGATCAGGTTTTGGGGTAACTGGGTGATGGACATTGGGCAGGGTATATGTTGTAATGAGCACTGGGTATTATATAAGGCTGACAAATCACAGACCTGTACCCATGAAACAAATAATACATTATATGTTAATTAACTGAATTTAAATTTTAAAAAAAGGACCAGGTTAGAAATTTTTATGACCACAGAGTGAAAAACTACCTATTGCTCTTTATTAACATATCAGATGTGATAAGTTTGTTTACAAAGGTGAATACCCATTATCATACTCTTTATATGTATTAAAAGGGAATAAATAATATGGCACTATATCTTACTAGCCATGGGACAATAGTATTATTCTGATATCTGGAGAATGACATGTTACTTCTAAACTACATAAAATGCACACTCCTCAGAAGACAAAAAAAATTGGATACCTAATATGATTTAATAAAAAGAGCTCTGCATTGGAGGATCTTACACTGGCACCAATTAATTGTATTACTAAGTGTCTCTTCGTTCACTTGTGAAATTCAATAATATGTTCTCTGCGTCTCTCCTCAGGTTTTTCAAAGAATAAAATGAAATGATAAAAATGAAATGCAAATGAAACTGTCATGCAGATGTAAGGTACTACAAAAAAGTAGGGTGCATACATGTGCAAATGTATCTAAACAACTAACAATCCTTGTTATGTGTCCTAGTTCTAAGCATTTACTATGTGAATTCATTTAGTTCTCACAAGTACTCTATAAGATAGGTATTATCATCCCCTTGGCACAGAGGAGTAAATTGAGGCACAGAGAAGTTAAGTTACTTCTAAAAAATGGATACCAGTGGAACCATAATACAAATTCAGACAGTCTGCATCCTGGGTCTGTGCCCTTAATCTCTATTTTATATTGCTGATATATAATTTTAATATACACACAACATTTCATTTCACTAGACTACTTACCTGGTTGATTTTCCAATATTCTACAATCTGAGCTGCGCTGATATTCACCACTTAAATGCCAACTGAATTCCTGACTGAAAGGGCAGTAGTCAGCGATTTCTACTGAACCACCATAATAAGGCAAATCTTCTGTAGGTATTCCACTTAGTTCATCGAAGTACTACAAAAAAAAAAAAAAAAATTATTAGGAAGACAGGAAAGTAAGAAAACATTCTGTATAATAAAAACAAAGTCCACAAGCAATTTATAGCAACCCTCTAATGCTGCATAATATAAAGAAGATATCAGTGTACTTTTCTTCATATATAATAGAATATAAAGACAGTAATATACTACCTGAGGGCTATTTCAAGGTGTTTGTAGTTTTAGAAACAAGCAAGATAAGTATATTCAAGTTTTTTACTAGATGACAAATTTGACTAGTGTTTTAAAAAGATGAATAGGAAGAGTTTTAAGAGTTGACAAAACAGAAAACTAATCCAGAGAATTAAGATATTTTAAATATAATGTACTTCAAGTGTTTTTAGAAGACTTAATTTACGTGTTGTTTTGACAAACTTGAAAAAATAAAACTGTGATAATATGAATGAGATCATATATATAAAATACTTTGAGGGGCACCTGGGTGGGTCAGTCGGTAAGTGTCTACCTTTGGCTCGGGTCATGATTTTGGGGTTCTGCACAGGAGGGATCTGCTTCTCCCTCTCTCTTCCCCCTCTTTGTCTCCCCCCCCCCCCCCCCTCTCTCTGCCTCCCCCCCTGCCCCCGCTCATGTACACTCTCTCTCTCAAATAAATAAATAAAATCTTTAAAAAAAAAAATACTTTGAACACCAAAGGAATAAGGCACCAGATAAATTTTAAAGATTTCACATTTATACCAACTCCTTGAATTATATTACTATGCCTAGAAATATAGTTGCCATCTTATGGTATCTGAAGCATTCAGTGGGATCATAAACATATGCAGGAAGCTCAAAATTCAGCAGCAATCATTTTATTTTTATTTATTTATTTAAAGATTTTATTTATTTGTTTGACAGAGATATAGCGAGAGAGGGAACACAAGCAGGGGTAGTGGGAGAGGGAGAAGCAGGCTTCCCTCTGAGCAGGGAGCCCGATGTGGGGCTCGATCCCAGGACCCTGGGATCATGACCTGAGCCGAAGGCAGACGCTTAACAATGGAGCCACCCAGGCGCCCCAGCAACAATCATTTTAAATTATCTTCTGAGATAACACTTCTGACTACAGAATCCTTTGTAAATGGCAGGCAGAAGTGAGGCGTTTCAGAGATGGTTACTGCAACAACAAACTTAAAGGTCCAATCAGAGACTCAGACTGAATGTGTGGGACCATTTCCTTCACCTTTTTTTTTTTTCAGATAGAGAGAAGAGGGGCAGATAGAGAGGGAGAGAGAGACTCTTAAGCAGGCTCCATGCCCAGTGTGGAGCGCAATGCTGGGCTGGATCTCAGGACTCTGAGATCATGACCTGAGCTGAAATCAAGAGTCTGATGCTTAATTGACTGAGCCACACAGGCGCCCCTCCTTCACCTTTTAGATCCCATGTGTCAAACCTTTATAAAGTAGAACTTTCAAGTTCTACTTTATAATTAATATAATTGGATTTAATGAATTGGATTAGAGTAGCTCAGTTATTTCCTTTAAAGAACCTTGTTCTTCTGTGTAAATTAGAGGAAATTAAACACGAAGACTTTGGAAACAATTAGAAAAAAATATAGACCACTTAAAAATAGATCCAATAAATATTCTAAATGCTTTTTACCATTACTACAAGGCATTGCTAGATATTAATTGTTGTTGATTAGCACACTGGCTTTAAAGAATTGTAAGAATTCTTCATTTTTTTCTAACATAGAAAACATAGGTTTCATAAGTTGAAAAACTTAAGAGAATTCACTCTTCTAATTAAAAATGGAGACTTCTCTTTAGAAAGTTGAGTTGATTTCTTTTTTTTTTTTTTTTTTGAATTGATTTCTAAAATTGCCCAAAACAAGTGTTACCTGGTACTCTTGAGGTAAAGGTTTTGAAAACTTCTGCAAATTACACACTGCAACTGCTCTCTGGTCCTGTCTGCAAGTTAACTGCAATGGATTACTTCTGAGTGTGTCACAGAAAGGGCTCAGCATCTGCCTCCTGCACACAAAGATAAACACCATGGTATCAAACTCTAAAGAAAATATAAGAAATCCATTTTAGAGCTTGTCTTTTCTATTATCATTTCAGTATACTTTAATAGCTTAATACTAAATGCTGAATCAGGTTATGAAGTTATTTTTTTATTTTTAAAGATTTTATTTATTTATTTGACAGA